CCTATTCTGCATAAATTTGTTAATTATCTATAATTTTTGGACTTGGAATATATATAGAATAAATAAGTGATGTAATCGAAATTCAAATACCTTTTTTAATTATTCTTGCTTATCTTAATATTCATTTTTTATTGAAACTATTATTAGAAATTATAAGTTAATATGTAAAAAACCTTGAAGTACAACTTGATTCTATAAGAGACTTTATAAGAACTAAAGCTCCATGGACATTAAAATATAGATTCCTACATTTATAGCTTTTAAATAGATAATAGTAAAGAGCGAGAGTAATTAAAAAATTTTAAATATTAAAAAAACATTTATTGTTAAAAGCCAAACAAATTGTATAAATTAAATCTTAATACAATATCTTTAATGATGAAGATGTAAAGAAAATCATTAATAATTGCAGTTAATAGAAGTAATAGATTTTATTAATTTAGTCAAAATAATAACAATGCTGAATATTAGACAATAAATAGTAAAATTGAATCCCAAGGTAAATTAAGAATAGAATAAGGATGATTTTTTAAAATATTTTATGATCAAAATATTCGATATATGATTCTATTTTTCCTAACCATCTTAAATTTTATTCCTAAAGGTAATTATTTTAAACTAAAATAAATTTTAATTATCATATTCTTCCAAAAAATCCATTTAAATATATTCAAATATAAACCTGTTAAAGTTAATGCTGAAGTATTTAGGGAATAAAATTTTAAAATTTGCATGATCACATAAATCACTACAAACACAAGGACATCTGAACAAAAAATAATATTAGCAAATAATAGCCACTGTGATTTATTACAATTTATTTTTAAAATTAAAAATATGAAAACCGAATGGATTTATAATTTAAACTAAATTTTAGTTTATCAATTTTCAGCATATTAATCATGTAGACTTGGTCTTGATTTATATATAAATAAACATTCAAATATATTCAAACAGCAACAAATGTATGAACACCTTCGATCGTATTTAAAAATTATAGTTTCTTTAGAACAATTAATCTGAATTTAAACCCTAATGTAAACCTTGCATAAGCTTTTTAAAAATTTCTTTAAATATGATTAATTCTTTTTATTCCATTTACTCACGTTGAATATTTTCCTGCAAACATCTTAAAAATATTTTGAGTCTAAACAACTTAATTCGTTTTAATTTTATCTTACTATCATTTTTATTAAGAATGAATCCTTAAAGATGAAAAAAAATATAATAATATATTATAATTTATATAAAATTTCTAACATCTATTAATTTAAATAATCTATTTTTCTTTCTATCTCAAGAAAGTCTTGCTTGAATAAAATTTTTAAAATTGAATTGATTTTATTCAATATAAATTTTATTATAATTAGTCTCTTTATTCGAAAAATCAAGAAAATTATAAAAATGATTTTCATCAATCATCTATTCATCAATTGAGCCTTTTATAATCTGATCATAATTATCGGTTCGATAACTAATCTTAAATTATTAATATTAAAGAATATAATAATATGTATTTACATAAAAAAAAGTATTCCCTAGATTTGATTAATGAACCAAAAATAATGTATTTCATCAAAATTTTTATTGCTAAGTCTACTTGAAAGAAAAATATAATTCTTGTAATTTTTTTGGGATTTACTTTTAATACCTGTTCGTAAAAATTATTATTTTATTCAATCCATTAATACTTAATACTTTCTAGATAAAGTTTGAAATAAATGATATTGCTTATTATTATTTTTTATCTTTAAAGAATCTAAATTTGAATTTATAAATTCTAAAGTTTATAAAATAAATGATGAGATAAGTATTTCTATTAGTTTTAAAAAATAAATATTTGATGAATTTTTGTAAAAATTTTCTTTAAGATTAATTTATCATATGATGATGTCAATAATAATAATTTATATTCATGTTTTATAGCTATACTGCAAACATTGAGGATTCTCTAGTTGGTATTTATGTAGATATAATATAAGGCTGGCGAATTCATAATGCATAATCTCCTTACAGAAATAATTGTGGTAGTTAAGCTATTGTAGGAGGAATCAATTCATTCAATGAGCATACCATAATTAATAGAAGATTTGAAAATTTGGATCCACATTATTAAATAAGAATAGATTTCTGGATATGGATGTTATCAAAACACCATCAATCACAGATTTAGAAGTTTAATTAGATTTAGATGATTATACTAAGGCAATATCATCAAAAATAATTGAATAAGTAAATCATTGTGGAGTCTTAAATAATAATGAATAAATCAAATAAATATCATTTGTAATAGAACACAATAAAAATATATTAAATTTATCAGCCAAGTTCAAGTATAATAAGGAATAGAAAGTAAATATTTGAAATTAAGTTAGTTTTCTTGGGGAATTTAAAAAATGGATTTAAATTTTGTAAAATGTTATTTAGAATGTTCTTTTTGTTCTGGCCCTATGAAATCTGATTGTTTAAATTGGCATAATTTAGTCTATTTGTTTCCTAATAGTATTTTCACAATCTTATTGTAATGACTGATGATATAGATGAATTCACCTAATATTTTGAATGCTATAATTGTGAATAAACCTTTATGATAGATTTTGTTTAAACAAATGAAAATAATATTATTAAATTACTGTAATTAAAATTAAGTATATATTAGTGATAAATTCTATATCAATTAAGAACTTATTTTAGAAGTGTATGCATATAAATTTGAATGAAAATAATTAATTTAATTGCCTATACAGTAATGGAACTATGTAAATTGATCTAGTATAGATTTATGGTATAGTAGAATTTAATTTTAAAATTTATTCTAGTGATAGAAAAATGGAATAATAAGTTTAGATATAATATTTATTAAAATATTAAGGTAATGAGATTCTTTTTCCATTTTTACCTGGTTGTTTAGATTAATTTAATAATTATTGTTTAAATTGTTTGGAAGGATGGGATCTTAATACAATAGAAAATGTATGTTTTCCTATTTGTGGTAATGAAGTAATTGAAGGAAATGAATAATGCGATGACGGTAATTTGAACAATTATGATGGATGTTTTTAATGCAAATTTGAATGTGTTTAAGATTGCTAGATATGTGAAAATGGAATTTGTTAGGAATGTAATGTAGGATTTGAATATGATAAATAGAATGAAAAATGTGTAACAATTTGTGGAGATGGATTATTAATTCCATTTGGTTAAGAGATTTGTGATGATGGAAATAAAGAAAAAGGAGATGGTTGTTATAATTGTATATTTGAGTGTCAATAATTTTGTGAGAAATGTATTTATTTTGATTGTGTTAAATGTTTGGAAGGCTTTAATCTATTAAATGATATTTGCAATCCAATATATGGAGATAAAATAGTATTGAAAGAAGAGTGTGATGATGATAATAATAATATAGTAATGATGAATGTCATGAATGTAAAAAAGTTTGTGCTAATGATTGTGATGTATGTGAAAAGGGTATATGTTAAGTTAATTGCAAAGAGAAATTAGGATTAGGATTTTATATTATTGATGGAATATGTAAATCTAAATGTGGAGATTCTATAGTTACAGCTGAAGAGGATTGTGATGACGGAAATAACATTGATTATAATGGATGCTTTAAATGTCAATATGCTTGTGAATAAAATTGTTTGACCTGTATTAAAGGTTAATGTCAAAGATATAAATCTGTATGTGGCAATGCTATATTAGAAAAAGAAGATGAAAAATGTGATGATGGAAATACAGATTAATTTGATGGTTGCTTCTTTTGTGATATTGAACCTAATTGGATATGTCAAGAAGATAAATAAAACAAAAGCTATTGCTAAATTTATAATCCTCTTCAATTTATCCCTAGTTTCTTAAACATTACAAATAATAAATAGTTTGTTCTATTTTAATTTTCTCGTGAAATTAAAATTTAAAATGGATAAAATTTAACCTAATCTATGAATTTATCGATTATGGATAACTAAATTTAATATAAATATGAAATACTTGAAAAAAAAGAACCAATCGAAAATTAATTAACAAATGTTTCCTATTTGATACAAATAGAAATTTAATAAAACATTGATTTTTAACCCACCTTAATTATCAACTTTACTAACAACATTGTTGTTCTTAGTGATGATGATTAAACCTAAGCATTATAAGAATATAAATTAATATTATAAATTCCCTAATATCTAAATCAAAAAGATTTACAAACAAGCTAAAATGTAACAAACATGAGTTAAAACATTATATATTTTCCATTTATAATTGGGGGGATTGCTTTGATTTTAGGGAACCTAAATATATTAACTGAAATTTTGGATTCTCTCTAGAGCATTACATATTTGAGGTATTATAAACTTTTTTATTTTATTTTATTTTTTTTTGTTTTATTTCACTAAATATTAATGTTACTTTTCCACAGAATCCATTTATATACTTTTCAATTAACGATCTAATATCATTATCTCTAATTTCTGATTTCATCAACTTTGAAGAAATCCTTAGCTACTTAATTCCTTCTAATTACATTTATCCCTAATTTGGAAAATTCTTATACTATTAATAAAATTCAGATTTGCTCTCCAATTTAACTCCATAGATTATTTAATTTTTAACTCTTGTACTGTTTATTCAATCATAAAAGCTGGTTTAAACAATAGTTTACTCATCTAAATTCTAAAAACAGTATTTTATTTTTTTCACTTATTTGTCATCTAAATTCAATGATAAATGTATTTTTTGGTTGTTTAAAAAATTATATAGAGGATTGAAAAAACTAAGACGATTATCAAATTATATTTCAAAATAAAATTTAATTAAATTAATGATTATAAATGGATGGGATACATTTTATAAATGTTTCCTCTATTTAAAATCTATTGAAGAATTTTCAATGAGAAGTTTAATTTCATATTTAATAGCTGGTTTTATAATTGCTTCTTATGGATTCTTAATATTTCATTAAACTTAACCTTAAAAAGTTCCTAATATCAAAAAAAATAATCAAATTATCGAAGAAAGATATGAAGTACGGAATTTATTTAGATAGATTATATTTTTATTTATATTAATTTTTCGATATCAAAGTGAAATTATCTAAATCCTATTGTTAGGTTGCTAATATTTTAATATCATTAGTTTTAATATCAAGTTTAAAAAACATAAGAGAAAAATCAGATTTTATATAATTGATTATACAAGATGCAGCAATATTACAGATATCTTTATAAATTGAAGAAATTTGACTATATTTTGAGTTCCATAATTTATACGAAAGATTTTGCTTATATTTTTTCAATGTAGAGTAAAGTTTTGTTAGCATTTATTTAAGTGGCTATTCTAACATTTGTCATAATTTTTCAATTTTTAAGACTTATAGGAAATTCAATTAATGATTTAAGAAAAAAGTGTAAAAAACCCGAAATCAAAAAAAATAATCAAGTAACTAGGTTTATATTTACTTGATGATATTTATAAATATTATCAATACATTATAATTTATTTCTTAACTCTAAAAAATATAAGAAAAATGATGGCCAAATTGATATTCAAACAACTTCTTAAAAATTTGATACTTTGCTTCAATTTAATTCTAAATTAAACTTCTTATTTAAATTTAATTAAAAATAATTATTTTAAAAGCAAACTATACGTTACGATATACAGAGTATCTTATATTTAAACATTCATATATAGAATAACGTTTAATAGTAAATAACATTTTTATTTTAATTTAGTTTTATATTTTTTATAAAATTTTATGTAAGAATATAACAATGACAATTTATATCATTCACAAAGTTAAATTTGCTTAATGACAGAAAAAAAATAAAAATGGAATATTCATCACAAATATGTTATGGAGATTTTCAAAAATTAAACAGAAGACTATGTTTATGATTTTAGGTAGGTATGTTATTTGATTTTATCTAATGACGTTGGAATTTTTAAGTATGCCTACAATGGGCAATTTATAAGAATGTATGTAATGTGATTATACTTCTTTATCTTAGAGATAAACAGATGGAATCTAATTAGGTAATTTTAAAAAATCTATAATAATTAAAAAATTTAACTTGGAAAAGGATAGTAGGGAGCAAAAACAAAAAACTTGAATTTTTGGTTGCCTATTGGAAAGGAAAAAAGTTAAACATAGGAGGATATTATACTGAAGATGGCTTAAAGAATGGAATTTGGAGAGAAATATCAGAAAATTATTGGGAGTAATAATTATATTAAGTTAAGTTAATAAAAAATGATAAATATCGGGAACTATAATCAAGGAAAAAAATTTGGAAAGTGGAATACTAAATATAAGATCCAAAATGATATTCAAAACATTACTATGTATATTTTTGGAAAGAGTTTTTAGAGAAGGAGGGCATTATAATTAAAATGGATTAAAAACAGGAAAATGGATAGATTTTAATAATAATTTCTTTAAGTATTTATGGTAACCATTTAGATTTTGTTAAGTTCACTATTAAGGAGAATATAATAAGAATAAAAAACAAGGAATATGGAATATATTATTCCAATGCAATTAATCTAATATGTATAAAATAAAGTATGCAAGTTTTTTTTATAAATTTAGTGGAGGGGGAATGTATGATGAAAATGGCCAGAAAAAGGGAAAATGGATTGAAATATTTGATAACTTCCATAAGTAAATAAATTATGTTATTCAGTTATTGCTAAGTTATTGAGATTGGCTAATATATTGAAGGTAAGAAAATTGGCAAATGGATTATTTTAGAAAGATTTCGATCAGATTTAGACTTTTAAATCATGTAATATGTTTTTTTTTATATAAAGAGGAGGCGGTATATATGATTTTGATGGAATAAAAAATGGATACTGGATAGATTTGAAAGAAAATTATTGGCAGTTCTATATGTTCTTATACTTTTTAGAGATAATAAAGTTTTGTATATAGGATTTTATAAAGAAGGAAAGAAATATGGGAAATGGAATATCAAATTTTAATTAGAAGTAAATTATAGTTATGTTTCAATGTAATTTTAATTTAAATGATTATAAGAGGTGGAGGCCATTATAATGAAAGAGGCTTAAAACAAGGGAAATGGATTGATTTACATGAAAACTTTTATAAGTAATTAATTTTTTTCAAATTTTAAAGAGAATGTTAAGTCTTATTAGTAGGAGAGTATAAAGATGGTGTTAAAATTGGATGTTGGGAATTTTAATATGAAATATGGACTGATTTTCATATTATGTAAAGTTTCCTATAAATTATAAGTGGGTGTGGAATATATTTTGAAAACAATCTCAAGCATGGAAAATGGATTGATTTACATGAAAATTTTTATAGGTATTTTTTTTTATGACTTTTAAAATAGTAATTGTTTGGTAGTTTAAGCAGGAGAATATTAATAAGGGAAAAGATAAGGTTGTTGGGAATCGTTTCATACGTATTCTCCTAAAATAGAATATAAGAAAATGTAAAGATTAAATTAATAATAATAATTTAAGTGGAGGAGGAGATTATGATTAAAATGGAATGAAAAATGGTTAATGGATAGATTTGCATGATAAATTTTGGCGGTAAAGATATTTTTAATAAAAGATAGACATTGCTAAGTATTATATACTGGATTATTTTTTGCTGGAACTAAATAAGGAAAGTGGATTACTAGTTTGAGATCTGACATATAAGGAACATTAAAGCAAGTGTAAATTAATAAATTTTAACATAGAGGAGGGGGAAATTATAATGAAAAAGGATAAAAGATAGGAGAATGGATTGAGATAACTGAACAGTTTTAAGAGTATAATGTTTTGTTATATATATATAGATGTGAATAAGAAATTATAAAATGTAAATATGATTAAGGAATAAAATTAAGAAAAATTAGTAGATAAAATATTTGTGAGAATTATTATAATAATATTTTTTTTGATTGAATTGAGGATAAAGTTTAGGTTAATTATAAAAAGTCTACTAAAAATATATTTTATAAAGCAAAAGTGTTTAAATAAAAAAAAGAGTTAAAAATAATTTAAGTCAATATAAAGAAATGTTGTAATATATTTTATGTAAGGTTAAAATACTTAATGAGTGATTAATTCAAATTTCTTCTTCATCTTCTACTTCTTAATTTAATTTAGTCATTTCATAATTTTAATTAGCAGTGAGCTAATTTTTAATTTTGGCTTTTTGAGTGAAAATGCAATATAAGACAAGACAAATCAATGATGTTGGAAGGATAATTTATTTGATGTAATCAATTTCTTATGGTATATGTTGAAATTGGTCGTCACAATTAAAATCAGAAAAATAGAAGGTTTACGTGTTTTAATCAATAGTAATAAGTCTTTAAGCTAGAAATGGTAATCCTAATTCTATACGATTTAATTTAGATCTATTGAATCTTAAGATTTGGGTTTGATTTTAAATTGTTAAAACATATGAATCTGGTTATAAAATGAGTTTTTGATTTTCATCAAATAAAAATTCAATATCAGGTAATTCTACAGATTCATTTTTTAGAATAAGATTATGGGATTGTTCAACAATCTGATATTGAGAGAAGAAAGTAATTATTTTTCGATAATGTTTTTCAGGTAATAAAATATATGGATCTCTGCTATCAATATAAGTAACTTTGCCAGTTAGATTAAGAATAGTTTTATTTTCAACTTTAATAAGTTTAAGATCAACTTAATATTTAGACGAGGAATTTAGTTTGTAATTTATTTGATTCTAGTATGAATTCTTAAATTCTTTAGAAATGAATCCTTTAGTATAGCCAAAACAGAGATGAAAAATATTGGAAATAAAAGGATTTTATGGGAATTAGGGTGCTATATAATATAATATAAAAAATACTTCCTCTTTATTATCCTAATCCTAATATTTCTTCTTTATCTGTAGAAATATATAACATTTATTCTAATTGTTCATCCTCTAAGACATTACTTAAGATGATATCAGCATGCATTAGATTACCTTCTTCAATAACACAATTAGGGGTACAAGAGGAACATTTGATATGGTCTCCAAATGGAGAATCATCACATTTGATTTGTTATCCTTTAAGTTTCATTTGTGTCATTTAAGAATTCAAATCAATTGTTAAGGAGCCTTGTTGATATGCTAATTGAAAAGCATACGTTTTTGGGTCTTAAGAGATTGGATAGATATGTAATGCCAATGCAGTTGTAATTAGGAATATTATCATAAAAATAATTCATAATGCAATTGATGCACTTGCCAACATTGTTGTAGCAATTCCTATCTTGAATATGAAATTAAGCATCTTTTAATGTACTTATTCAGAAGTGACATTCTTTTTGTTGTATTCCCAATTCTTTAATTGCAAATCCATAATCTCAAACCATAATTTAGGAACCCATGCTAAAAGTATACAAACTGTATAACCATGTGGTAATTAAGGACTTTCTTCATATGAACATAAAGTCTAATATGATTTATAAGGATTTTCATGATGATCTGAATGTCTTTACAATTTAAAGAGTAAGTAATTAGATAATCTATGAGGAGCATTCCAACTATGACGTATATCAACTTTTTCATATTTTCCAGGTTCTATCTCTTTTCTGCTTAAACCATAATGTTCTATATAGTTAATAGTTTCTAGATAAACAACACTATTAATCACAGTTCCTAAGAAATAGGTACATCCTAAAAGGCCAAAGTAATAGTAAAATATATAAGGAATAATAAAATAGGAAATAGTATACCTAGAATATTATTAAATTAATTACCATATCATTCTATTTTATATTCTAATGACTGATCCATATTTCTTTTATACTAGATCTGCTTCATAGTTCCATGCTGATCGATATGAACCTGTTATTGTTTAAGGTAAGAAATGCCATATCTTTTATCCTTTTAATGAAGATGCTGGATCTTTAGGAGTAGCAACATGTCTATGATGTCCATAAATGTGTTCTATTGCAAAATGGACATATAGGTTTCTAGCTAAAGTTATAGTTCCTAGAAATTTATCTAGAAAATTATCTTTGTGAAACAATTCATGAGCTATATTGATGTTTGAAGCCGCCAAATTTCCACATAAAAATATTATCCCTAATTTATTTAGTAGATGGATCTCATTATTTAATAGAAAATTGATCATCCAAACCAAACTTATCCAATCGAAGATGACGCTTGCATATAATGGAAGCTTAAATTTCATCTCTTACTCTAATTTTCTATTTTTAATTTAATATATCATTTACATCTATTCATCCTTTGTTGGATTACGAAGATCTAATGAAAAGAATTCATCCAAAAATGGAATTAATGTATAAACAATCCAAATTGCTATCCAAGCATTTTCAAAGTATGATATCAATATCATAGCCATTGTATATAAAAATGGAACTGTGTAATATTGATAACTACTAAATATAAGTGAGTCATCATTGAAGATTTTTATTTTGCTGTTTTTCATAAGTGTATTTTTTATATTATTATTTTATGACGCAGAATTTTTGGAAGTTGAGATAATAATTTATTCTAAAAAACTGAAATCATTTATATATTGATATATTCTGTTTATAATTATTTTATTAATACATTTCATTTTAATTAATCTATTTGTAATTATTTTTTTTAATATTATATAATGGGTTTATGCCACTCAAATTCTAAATTTCAAGGATAAATCCACTTCGAAATGACTCATGCTGATTACTAAAATGGATATTATAATGGTGCAGTTCTAATTGGTAATCCTAATTTAGAGAACACTTAATACGTATATGTTAATCTGATTGGGATTGAATAAATTACTACAAAAGGATTCACAGTTACCAATTAATTTCTTGATGTCAACCTTATAAAATTGAAATTAAATGGTGAACCTTAACTTCATATCCCTTTTGAAAAACAAATAGATTGGTAACCTATTTATCAGAATTACTATTCCATTATTTCTGATTAAACACTCTCAACAATCATCTATCTAGAATGCTACTTAGCTGTAATTATTAATATTAATAAAAGAAAAGTTCTTCAGCATCTTCATTAAGTAATAGCGTTGTTCCTAATACTCGATAAATTTATGTTGTTAAAACAAAAAAGGATAGATATGATACAAAAGCCATTTCTCTCATTTATGAACCTAAATTTGCAGGTTTTGCACCTATTATTTAGTTCAAGTTTTTATTATTAATAATTTTTATAGTTTAGAAAAGGATGTGTATCGAATTGGTGAACATCTAAAAGGAAAATTAATTATAGATAACACAAAATCTCAATATGTTTTAGTCAAAAATCAAATAACAATTCTTTAAATTATTGATTTACTATTAAAGAATGATACCAAATATAAAAGAGTAAATTTATTTATAATTAATAGTTACTTCCTTAATCAATGATTTAATAAAGATTAGATAATATGCATAGTGAAAAAAGAATCATAGATATTGATATAAGTATCACTTAATCCTTTAAGGATGTTTGTTCTTATCCAGGAAAATTATATAAGGTTAATTATGTAGTTCAATTGGAATTCATGTGGGAAGATCAAAAAACTTATACAATGTCCAGTGATATCACAATTATTAATGAAAATGATTGATTTAAACTATATTTGGTATATTTAAACTATTATTTATGTAATTATTAATCAATAATTAAATCCACCTCTATATTTTATATTTCCTCTAATATAATTTTATTCTTAAAAGTCATTGTCATCTTTTTTTTGTTTATTTTTTCTTCTTTAATTTTTTTTCTCATTTCCATTAGCTCCAAATTTTGAATCAAATGCTTAAGCAAATCCATGTAATCCATCAGAAACCAATTCTTCATCATCTCCAATATAATTTTTTGGAATTCTTTTTTAATATTTATTTCTTGAAGTGCTCCACTTATTCTAGATATCATTTTATTGTGATTGTTATTAATCTTATTTCTATGTATATTCTATTTATATATCCTGTTATTTTTATTATTACCATTACTATTATTATTACTATTATTATTACTATTATTATTACTATTATTATTATTATTATTATTATTATTATTATTACTATTGTTGTTACTATTATTATTATTACTATTATTATTATTATTACTATTTATTTTATTTCAATACTCCATTATTTTCTGAGATATTTCTTTTTTATGATTTTTCATACTCTATTAATTATTGCAAATATTTTTCAACATAAGTATAAGGATTATAAACTTCATTTCCGAAGTCTAATACTTAAAAATTAATGATTATTCCACTTTCTTTACAATCCTATACATCTCTGATACTTCCACTTGACTTGATAAAATTTTTGTTATTAGGAAATTATTTCTTTAATAATTCTAAAACGCAAGTAGCTACACAAATATCTTCTCCTTATGCATCAATAATGATTAATTTAGATTCATTAAAGCAGTCTCTTAATTATAATATAGCTTCAAGAAAATATTTAGCTGCATCAATTTCTTTTGATCCTGAACTCTTTACTTTTATCATTTAATTAATTTTTATAAAAATGGATTTTTTTTAGGAAGAAGAAGAAGAACATCCAGAATAAAAAGGATGTTGTGCCTTTTTAACAATTCGATATTATTAGCCATATTTTAATGTTTCTGAAGATGATGTAATTGATAGAATTAAGGCTTCCTTTCTTCCATTTAAAAGAGACTTTCATGAACGTGTAGCTGGAAATCCTGATTTGTAAAAAAGCATGCATTTATATATATAGATGGGGTCCATTATGGATTAGTGCAACAATTATATTTCTTATCACTGCTGTTGCAAATATAAATTAAATGAATTTAGAAGGATAAACAAAATATTCTGTAGCTTATGTTCCTTAATCAGCTGCATTATTATATTGTATAAGTTTTGGAACACCAATTATCATAACAATTGTAATGAAGATTCTTGGTAGTGATATCAGATTCTTTCATACTCTTTGTCTTTATGGTTATTCAATGTCTATTTTAATGCCTATAACTATTTTATGTGTTATTAGATATTATATTCTTTAATGGTGTTTAGTTAGCTATGGAATGATTAGCTCATCAATCTTCTTAATTATGGGAATGAGAAGGTATTCATTTTTTAATTAATTTAGAATTTTAGGGGATTTAGAATAAGCTAAAAGATATATCATTGTTGGAATTATTTTAGCTATGCAATTTAGTTTATATTTGATTTACAAATTAGTGTTTTTTAAAGTTATAGAAAAGAATTCTGCGGAATGAATTATTATTGTATAATTTATATCTTATTATATAAATCTTTATATTATTTATATATCCATATAAAATTATTTATATAATTGTTTTATTTTCTAAATTTAAATTATATTTCATTTAAATTTCTTTTCTAGAAATACACTTAATAACAAAAATTCTATAATAAAACCTAATCGTATATTTGTTTTATAATCTAAATTATTATTAAATTTTTTTAGATTTCGTATCTAGAACTACATAACACAATCAATTATGATTAATAATAGTCTTAAAAAATAATCAATCAATTTGTTTATATTAAACTGGAAAGATTCTAAAAATGAAAACGAGGAGTTAAAATATATCTTGAACTTGAATCGAAATCATTCATGAAATCATTCTTGAGTGTTCTAATCATTTTAATAAGTAAGATATTATTTTTAATATCTTCATCATGAGTATGCTAAGATTTAGATAAAATAGATTACTAAAGTGGATTCATGTGCATCAATATATTCTTCATAGATTTAATGAATATTTTCTTGATTTTATAATTCAGCTTAGATTTCAGCTTAATGATCTTAGATTTATTATTCCATATCAGAAATCATTGATTCTAATTCAGAGATTTATTGATTTAATTATTCAGTTTATTGATCAACATGTTCTAATAATCTTTCATGTAATTCTTATCTTTATTATTCAGCATTAAAGAGTACAATATTAGTATCAGCAAGATTTTATTCCCTAATAATAGTAATAATAATATTGATAACATATTAGCAAGCATGTCAACAACATAATTGACATGTTCTAGATTTCCAGTCTATTCTGGAATTTGGGCGAATGATTCTTTATTTGATAAAGAAAATTCAAGTACCAATAATTTGACTAAAGGGATTTGATTGTCCCAATTATTCTTAAGCTTAATTTCTTATTTATAAGAATTCTGATCTAATATCTTCATAACTAATTTCTAATTCATTGTCTTATTTAGCAAATTTCGTTTATGGAGCAAGATCAGGCATTTTTGGTATGAGTTATCCAATTAATCCTTTAGATCTACGAATGATTCCACTAGACATAGTTATTTCACTTCTTCTTCTTTCAAACATAGAAATCTATAAATAATAACTTGAGATATATAAACTTCATTCTCTCTAATTTACACTAAATCAGAAACGGTATTTTCAGTGACTTAAAGAATAGCTTATTTTTCATCAATTATAGAAGCAAACTTATTAGTATAGTTAGAAAGTAGAGCAATTTTATTTTCTAACGAAGTAACTCTGTATTTGGAATCTTGAAGCATTCTTTAAGTATCTTCAATATTGTAGAGTTCTATTAAAAGATAATAAATTTAGATAAACCTGTATCACATTATGATTAGAATTCATCAGAAGTAAGAGAAGCAACTTTAGCTTCCATATTATTTAGATAAATTAAGAATTATGTTTAATCATGTCCTAATAATGATATATATATATATAGATAACCTTTTCTAAGGAAGGCTCTTATTTATTTAATAAGATGTTATCCAACATAACCTTCACTGGCAATATTATCAATATCATCTTTATTCTAACCAACTTAATAAGCAGCTACTAAGTGTAAAACAATTTATATAAAAATCATTAAATATTAATGGATAATTTATTATAGATATCAAAAGAAGTTAGAGATGCATTAGAAAAAGGATAGGGAGTTGTTGCATTAGAATCTACTATTATAACACATGGAATGGAATATCCAATTAATGTATAGACAGCTTTAGAAGTAGAGGAAGAAATTAGATCTAAAGGAGCTATTCCAGCAACTATTATTGTTATTTAAGGATAACTTAGAGTTGGTTTAAAACCAGAAGAAATTGAAGAAATTGGAAAGAATAAACATTAATATTCAAAATGTTCAAGAAGAGATTTAGCTTAAATTATTGCATAGAAAGGATATGGTAGTACAACTGTTGCAGCTACAATGATGATAGCTCATATGGCTGGAATTAAAGTATTTGTTACTGGAGGAATTGGAGGAGTACATAGAGGTGCAGAACATAGTTTTGATATATCAGCAGATTTGGTTGAATTAGGTTAAACACCAGTAGCAGTAGTATGTGCAGGAGCAAAATCTATTTTAGATATACCAAAGACTTTAGAATATTTAGAAACTTAAGGTGTTCCTGTAGTTGGATATAAAACAAAACATTTTCCTAACTTTTTTACTCCAGATTCAGGATTATTATGTAGTACATCAGTAAATTCTTGTGATGAAGCTAGTAAATTAATTAAATCATAATTTGATTTGTTGAAACTTAAGAATGGAATACTATTTTGTGTACCAGTTCCTTAAGATTAAGCGGCTGATGGTCTTATTGTTTAATAAGCTATTGATTAAGTATAATTTAAATATTTAAGTAGGCTCTTAAAGAATTAAATGATTAAAATGTTAATGGAGCTTTAGTTACTCCATTTTTATTGAAAAGAGTAAATGAAATTACAAATGGTATGAGTTCTAAATCTAATGTTGCTTTAATCAGAAATAATGCAAGAGTTGGAGCTGAAATTGCTATTTAATTCTGTTCAAAATGATTGTTAATATTATTCATTAGTAAAAATCGATTATGATTCCCATATACCAAATAGTTTGAAATGCATAATATGTTAACCACAATATATCTTATTTCTGATACAATGTCTTGAAATTGTTATAATTACAAAAATGTAATAATGATAATGGTATCAAAGTTAGCCATGCCAATACTGCTGAAAAGGTACTGCTCTATATTAAACTCAAACTTAATAATCCTTTTATGCATTTTTAATTATACCTGCTGATCCATATAAAAATACTCTTCTTCTTGTATATTCACCTTATTATTTCTAATTCAAACATGAACCAAAAAATAATGTTCCATAATGCAATAAATATAATATTAATATTGCTATTGCTACTGCCATTCTTTTTGGAATAAAACTTTCATTATCTTATTCATAACCCATTATTTAATATATTATTATTTATGGAGCAATATACCTGGCTTGAATTTTGTGTTAAACCATCCCTCATTAAAGAATATGTATATCAACTCTATCTAAATAGATGAAAGCTTAAGATTTACCCAATTAAAGAGCACTCTTTTAAATATATCTAGATCATCTTCAATCTGTATGTTATGAAGATTCAAAATTCTAAGGAAAGAAATTTAAAAGACTCTTATAAGTCATTTATCAAATTAATGACACATATACACCTATACTAAGTGATTTCTCTAAAAAGAATCTATAATTTGAACTTGTCTAACATTATTTCAAAGAAGCTTAATAAACCGAATACTATAAATTATTATTTTCAGCATACACTCTAGAATATTTAACTGAATATATCCTACATAAAGAAATCACTCCCGAAAGATTGAATTCAATGATTAATCTTAAGGAATTAGAAACCTTTTTGACTATCTCTACAGAACCTATTGCTATTCTCAATGTTTAAAGATTAATTGAATTCTATATGCTTTAAGAAGAACATAACATTGAACATCTATTTTCTATTCATGATAAACTTCATAAAACCTTAGCTGAATTCCCAGTTGCTTATTCTACTCAAAAAATTGAAGATTACAGATATATTATCTTATAAAGTAAAGATGAGTTATCTCCTGTTACTGATTCTGATGAATCATAAGATTAATAGACTGTTTCAAGATAAAACAAACCAGCTAATAGATCTTTTATTGAAAAAGAAATTTTAGATGGACCTAGTAGTACTAGAATCATTGTTATCTATCTTTAAAATGGCATATCCACTAATAATAGAGAATTACTCTTATAATTATAAAGAATAGTCAATGGAGCTGATCCGCTTGTTGATAAATTAATCACTATTTTCTTAAAAAACTGTTCTATTCCAGACATAGATCAAATAATTAGACAATTAGATATTGCTGCAATCTCAGAAATTAATATTATCAGTATTGTTGCTTAATTAATATGTAAATTTGCTAATGGAAATAAAGATGTTACCAAAGTACTCATAAATCTGATAAATAAATTCTATAAAACTTTATAAGATTAAACTAGAACTTTACAGGATTAAGTTAAAAGTATTTCAGAATTTGTAGATATCATTTAAAAATTACCTATATCTATGCCCTGCAAAATCGATTAATATAATTAAAATGTCTAATTAGCTTTATCATTAATTTTAAGTCACTCTGATATAAAATTATTGCTTGAACCTATTTAGGAATTATTTACTAATTGTTTGGACAATCTAACTTTTTTTATTGAAAATTGCTTATCAAAATTTATTTTAGAATAAATTTAAGCTTTAATTCTCAAATCTATTACAGAATACAATCCATTAGATTTCAATAATTATTATTCCTTAATGCCCATTTTAAATTAAGATTATCCATCCTTTGAAATTAAATTACCTCATGATGTCAAAGTTAAGTTATTGATCAAATCTTTTAAAAGAGAAAAAATTGTCACAATCCAATAATTTGATCAAAGTCAATTAGAAGATAAATTATAATTCAAATATTCAAAATTATACAAAAAATAATCCCTATTTCATTATAAAAATTAATAATATAATAAATCTATTAGATAAATCGTTAAATATTTTGAAGCTTATCTATATAGTCCACAATTTGAAGTAAGATAATATATAGCTGAAATTAGAGTTTTAGAATGTCTTTTTTAAAACTTTAAATCTATTGGAGGTATTTAAATAAATAATTAAAAGCATCCACACATTCCTTAATTGCAAGTTAATTTATATGTTATACTTTGGAAAATGCAATATTTGAAAATTTAGATATATCTGAAGAATTGGCTTAATTCTTTTTTGACGGAAGAATGATAGAAAAGATTTGTGCTGCAAATCGTCATAATTAACCTTTACTGAAATTAATGGTTGAAAGACTTTAAGATCCAGATTGCTATGTGTTTAAAACGAATAATTTATTATTGTAAACTTAAGAGAAATACTTATCGCTGTTTATAAATTATTTAAGTGAAAAAATGGTAATATGATGTGAATATAAAATTTTAATATCAAAGTTGATCACGAACTTTTAAGTAAGCTTATAAATCAAAATCAGGATCATCAAATTATTCTATACATATTATAATATATAAATACCTTCCTCCTAAACATCTTCTTCTAAACCTTCACTTTCACTTGAACTCGATTCTTCTTCTTCTTCTGGCTAATAATCTTAGTCTTAATCATCTTCATTTTGTTCTTAAGGTTATTAGAAAAATTGTTAAGTATTCATTTATATTGGGGCCTATTAGCAAAAAGGATTAGGATTTTATTGTTATTGTACTATTAAATTAGTGCCTTAGTTCCAAAACTATGGTTGTTGTTATTATTATTAAACTAAGTTGTTGAAGGGGTTCATAGTATTATTGGGAACAGTGTAAAAATGTTAAGATTGATCAGGAGTATAAATGTATTAATTTTAAAAGCAAGGAGTTGAATGGGATTAAGAGTTATGATTTTCAAATTCCATAAGCGCGAAATTTTATTAATATTAAAATACATTTTACTATATATTTTATTTATAATCTTTGCCTCTATATTAGAAATATAACATAATTTATATATGTTTATAATTTAAAAATTTTTAGAAGGCTTGCTCAATTTTAACTGTAAAAAGAAAAGTCTAGAATTTATTTATATATTATATATAGTATAATTTTGATTTTTTATATTTTGTAAATCTATCATGTAATAATAAATCTGTCAAAAAGAAGGACATGATGAGGAGGAAGTGTATGTCTGTAATGAATTAAAATGTATTGAACTTAAAGAAAACAAACTTTTATGTTAAAAATGCTTATGTTTACATAAAGGGATGCATTTTAAAAAACTAAAGGAAAATGCTAATGTTAAATGCACTCAATATATTAACAGTCTTCAAAATGATTTAGATCATAATGAAGAATTAAAAAAAAATGTTGATCAATAAATTCAATAGATATAAGGAAAGATATTTCAAACTCTATCTGATTTGAAGAAGAATATTGTCTCCTATGTTGATTAACAAAGTGCAATACTACAATAAAATAAAAATTAAGCAGAAAAGTTAATGCTAGATTAAAATCCTTAGATAGATTTATATATATATTTTGGCAAATTATCAAATGAAAATTTTTAAAATAAATTAGACATAAATAAATAACAAATTAAAAAATTGATAGATACTACAATTAATGAATTAAATTTTAATATAGACTATATAAATCAACCAGATATTCAAAAACATAAAGTTATGGATTATGATTTGTAATAATTTACTTTAGAGTCAATCTTTTAGTAATAACTTCCTTATGAATATTGCGGGAAGCATTTCGCTTATAAATCCTCAATATGTACTCACTCTGAATGTTTAAATTAAAAAAATTTAACTTATCATTGTTTGAGATGCAGCAAGAGCCTTCATGTCGAACATTTTCAAAATGATTATTTATTAGAGTACGAATAATTAAAAGAATAACAAAAAGCAAAATGTTAATTTTTTTTAAATGAAAAATTAACAATTTACGAAAAATTTTAACAATTAGTAAATTAATAAATATCTCAGTTAAGACAAGAGCAAAAGAAATAATATTAAAGTTTTGAAATAACAATTGAAAATATTAAAATTTTGGAATAATAATTTCAAAAGAGTTTATTTGTTTAGGATATTAATTATGTGTTTGGTGATTTATTATTAAATTTAATTACTACAGAGGAAAAAGAATTAAATTAATAACTTAATAATTAATTCCAAACCTTTGTAGAATAACTCTAACTCTGCAAAATTTAAGAAAAACCTCTCTTTGTTGAGAAATGTAAGAATATTTAATCACATGAAAATGAGATTTAATAACTGAAGAAACAAATAAGCGGATTATAATAAGAAATAAGTGATATGGATTAAACTTTAGATAATTGTCAATAATACATATAAAAATGTTGTAATAAATAACTTAAAATACCAGATAATCAAATACAACCATAAAGAAAAAGATACAAATGATGAAATGAGCAAAACTCTAAATTCAAATGAAAGGAGTAAAAATGAATAAATTATTCATATAGATATTCATTTCAAAGAATCTAATTTTATAATATTCTTTATATCTACTATCTTTCATCCTTTTTTAAAATAAAAAATATTATAATAAATTTTAAATTATAATTTTTCTATTTCACTAAAATTTAGAATGATTGTTTAAGTAATTTAAATATCATAAAATTAAGGTTATTTAATATGAAAGGTCAANTATATATTTTGGCAAATTATCAAATGAAAATTTTTAAAATAAATTAGACATAAATAAATAACAAATTAAAAAATTGATAGATACTACAATTAATGAATTAAATTTTAATATAGACTATATAAATCAACCAGATATTCAAAAACATAAAGTTATGGATTATGATTTGTAATAATTTACTTTAGAGTCAATCTTTTAGTAATAACTTCCTTATGAATATTGCGGGAAGCATTTCGCTTATAAATCCTCAATATGTACTCACTCTGAATGTTTAAATTAAAAAAATTTAACTTATCATTGTTTGAGATGCAGCAAGAGCCTTCATGTCGAACATTTTCAAAATGATTATTTATTAGAGTACGAATAATTAAAAGAATAACAAAAAGCAAAATGTTAATTTTTTTTAAATGAAAAATTAACAATTTACGAAAAATTTTAACAATTAGTAAATTAATAAATATCTCAGTTAAGACAAGAGCAAAAGAAATAATATTAAAGTTTTGAAATAACAATTGAAAATATTAAAATTTTGGAATAATAATTTCAAAAGAGTTTATTTGTTTAGGATATTAATTATGTGTTTGGTGATTTATTATTAAATTTAATTACTACAGAGGAAAAAGAATTAAATTAATAACTTAATAATTAATTCCAAACCTTTGTAGAATAACTCTAACTCTGCAAAATTTAAGAAAAACCTCTCTTTGTTGAGAAATGTAAGAATATTTAATCACATGAAAATGAGATTTAATAACTGAAGAAACAAATAAGCGGATTATAATAAGAAATAAGTGATATGGATTAAACTTTAGATAATTGTCAATAATACATATAAAAATGTTGTAATAAATAACTTAAAATACCAGATAATCAAATACAACCATAAAGAAAAAGATACAAATGATGAAATGAGCAAAACTCTAAATTCAAATGAAAGGAGTAAAAATGAATAAATTATTCATATAGATATTCATTTCAAAGAATCTAATTTTATAATATTCTTTATATCTACTATCTTTCATCCTTTTTTAAAATAAAAAATATTATAATAAATTTTAAATTATAATTTTTCTATTTCACTAAAATTTAGAATGATTGTTTAAGTAATTTAAATATCATAAAATTAAGGTTATTTAATATGAAAGGTCAATAATAGAGTTATCTTTTCTAAATTACAACTAGCGATAGAGATTCAGATTTTTTCGAATATAAATGCAATAAAAGGAATCTCTCTTTAAATGAAAGAGTTATATCAAAAGAAAATGCTACTTCGTTTATTACATAAAATTTAAATTATTCTTATTAAACAGCTGATTTTAAAATTGAGACCGCCCAAAATTAATTTACTCCGATTACTCATTTATAAGTTAAAAGCAAACTAGATTTATTATAAGAAAAATAGTTTTAAGACATATAATAGTAAGTTTAAGAAAATAATAAAGAACTTTAAAATATTAATTGTATTCATAAAATAAAAAAAGAAAATTAATATTCTTCATAAAAGAAAAGGAAGTTATAAAAAAGACCTTTTCATTTATACAAAACACCAGATTGTTCTAGAGTAGCTAATATTACTTTAATATTCAGAGAAAGTGAAAAAAGTATGGAACTCAAAAATTACTCTTTGAATTTGATAAATACATGCTTTGAATTAAAATAATAGATACTTTTTGAATTAAGTCAAAAATAGCTTCTCATAACTTAAAAAATGTCAGGATATATTGAATGCTCAAAAGTATTAATAAATGGAAATATAATTGAAGATCAGATATTATTAAATGAAATCAAAAATTAAGTAATTTTTGAGATATATTAATTTAAAACTCCAAATTTCAATTAAAACTATCTTTATTCATTTAATCATGAACAAGTCTATCAAAATTAGTTTGATGGATTAAGAGTAAAGAATTTATAAATTGTTTATAATAATAAATAAATAATTTGGACAGGAATAATTGATATTTCATATATAGATTTTGAAGAGGTATTAAAATTAGATAATTGTTATGAATTATATAACATTAATAAGTTAGGATATTATAGAATACCAAATTAAGGCAAAAAATTGAATTGCAAAAGAATAGTTAAACTTAATGTACCTGAAGAATTACTCATTTTGACTACAGATGAGAATGGCTATAGAGATAAATAATATTTAGTTAAGAAATTGTCTGAACAATGTAAACTGTTGAATTAAGAGTTTGTTAGTTTAGATAATGAAAATAGATTTTATGAATTTTTAGAAGAATGATTATTTACTTAAAGAGATTAAAATTGATTAATTGATAAATATTCAGGAACTTGAAGATTTTCTTAAGATGTCCATCATTTTAATTAAATCTTCTATTTATTAATTCCATAATACTTATTATTCTTTATTTTGAGTATTTAATTATTAGATTTAGGTTACCAAGATATCATTATTTTTTCTTAATTATAAATTTTCTTATTTCATTTGATGAATTAATTCTTAGTTGATTTAATGTTTTCCTAATGATTCAGAGATTTTCTCAATTTGTATTTGCATTTATTCTTTTTATTATTTTAATTTAACTCTTTATTTTTCACTATCTAATAACTTATCTTCTAGTTCACTAATTATTTTTTTGCTGAAATCATCTTTAGCATTGCTATTTCTTAAAGTAAAAATTTATTATTCAGCTTAATTTAATTTATTTTACAAATCTTCAATCTATGCTCCACTAAAACCAGATGCACTGAGAGATTGAAAATTTTCAGCAAAATCTACTAATATAGTCTTAATTTATTCATTCAATTATGAGGGTAATATGTTGCTTTTGAATAAAGTTTAGAATTAAGATGTAAAAAAATCAAGTAATTATGAAAATGTTTATGGTTTGATAAATTTTTTATTGCCTGAGTTTTATAAAGATTATTAAGTTGGTTTTTTACCAGAGGATTATATAGATTATTTTACACTCTTAGTAGTTTGAGGTTAAGGGGAATTTTTATTAATGTTATTCACTAATTTCTATTCTTAAGAACTTTCTGATGATGAAGAGAGATTTCTTTCTTGTTTTTTTAATTTTTACTCACTATATCTAGATGCACTTTGAGTTGTCTTTTTCCATTTTTCAATTAATGAGTCCATTTATATTTCTTAATAATTTATTATTTAAATTGTAACGACCCATTTATTCTTTTTTATATATATATATAAATATCATAATACTAAGATTTTTATATTCAATCTTTTTTTAAACTATTAAGACTTCTTTATTTTTATGCATTTGAGACATTCTAAGTATTTCGTAAAATCATTTATAAAACTCATTTATGTACTACATTATGGCCAAACACTGTTTACTCATTTTTATTCTTTATCTTAAATTTAAACTAAATCATTTTAACTTATTTTACATACATTTATTCAAAGAAATTTAATTCTCCTTAATTTTTTCTAATATATTTGTTGTAAACCATTTTTTTTCTAACTTAATTTTTTGTTGTTTAGATAAGAAATAGATTTGATAAATTTTTTGAATTTTAATCTTAATCTGATAATAACAAAAATTATTGTATTGAATTTTACAATTATTTCATTGATAGTAGGACTGAAAAAGAAAATATCTTTTAAATAACAGGAAAATAAATAACTTTGTCTTTAATTATGTTTGAAAATAAGAAAGATTTATAAAAAATAGTAGCTTGGAAAATCTGATATGAACAATATCGAAGTTATTTTAAACGATAAATTTGAGCATAATAAAATGTTTTTTTTAGTTATGTTAATTGTTAATATATTGATTTGAGATTAGTAGAAATTTTGGAAAGATAAAAATGGTAAGATACAAAATATAGTAAAAAGTAGTTAAAGTTTTATTTTAATAAATAAAAAATGATTATATATATTAGTTTGTGTGAATTGTTGATATAAGTATAATTTATATAAAATATAAAAGAGATGAGACATCATTATGAAAGTGATGAAGAAGAGGAGGAGTTGAAAGTAATTGATTATGAAATAATTAGATAGGAGATGTTATATAAGGAAGATTCAGTATAAGTTAGAAAATTGGGGAGGGTTCTTTCGGGTAGGTTTATAAAGTGATAGATTAAAAGAGTGGAGATTAAGTAATGGCAATGAAGGTAGAAGTAGAAGAGGAAGATTATAGTATGTTAGAGAAGGAAATAAAAGTATTGATAGAAATGAGGTAGAGATTAAGATAGTAATAATTAGAAAAAAAACTGGATTTCCTTAGATAAAGTTTTATGGATAAGAAAAGAGATTCACATATTGTATAATGACAATGTTAGGAAAGAATTTGGAATCTGTAGTGAGAAAGTGTGGAGGAAACTTTGATTTAGGAACATCATTAAAGATTGGAATTCAAGTAGGTCATTGATACAATATATAGTGAATAGATGATCGATAGAATCGAAACCCTCCATAATAGTCGTTTCTTACATAGAGACATAAAACCTGATAATTTTGTGCTTGAGGCAGGACCATCCCCAAAGTTAATATATTTGATTGATTTTGGATTGTCCAAACATTATATTGTAATTAAATATAATTAATATAGAATTCTAAAGGAGATCATATTTAACATGTAAAGAAAGCAGGTTTAATTGGAACTGCAAGATATGCTAGTATAAGTGCTCATGATGAAATGGAATAAGGAAGAAAAGATGATTTAGAAAGTATTGGTTATGTGTTGATCTATTTGGCAAGTGGTACTCTTCCATGGATGAATTTACAAATTGAATAGAAAGATTTAAAATATGCTAAAATTCATCATATGAAAAAGGCAATTAAACCTGATGTTTTATGTGCTAAATTGCCAAGAGTATTTTATTGGTTTAATAAATCAGTGTTTCACTAAGTTCATGTAGGATGTCAGAGCTTATGAGTTTAAATAATAACCAAATTATTAACTATTAAAGAGTTATTTTTAAGAGGAATTGGAGTAGATTTAAAAAGAACGCAAAGGATAATTTTAATATGATTGGGAAAAACTACCTGAATATTAATAGAAGAAAAAACATCTTACAGTTCATATTATGTAATAAAGTAGCAAAGAGGAAAAAGTTAATGTTATTAAATAGAAAGAACCACCAAAACCAGTTCCTTAGACTTTTGAATAAATCATGTAAGATACAAAGAAAATGAAGAGCACTAAAAAAACAACAAGTCATAAAACAAAAAAGAAAGATCCAATTATGATAAATATAGCAGAACCTGAAAGTCCTGCTTAAATGCCATCTTTTGGAGTCTTAAATCTTAAACCATATCAATAATAAAATTCATTTTTGCAAATTCCTCAACTAAATTCAAGTGGATTAATAGATTATTTACCTTCATTGAATCCTTCAATAGCCACATCAAAAATGAATAATTATCATTAGAGTGAAGATGTATTAAGTGAAGGTCGTTTACCAATTTGGGAATTGGGAGATGGTTCAATTCCAGGATTTCAAAAAATGATAGGTTATGTAACAAAAGGGATAAAAAAACCAAATGCCGATTTCTAAAGAAAAAATAGAAAAGCTCACACACGTATACATATGTGTATTTTTAGAGATTGATACAATAAAAAAGATGTCTTAAAATTTAGTTCAACCTAAAACAATTTAAGGAGATGATGAAGGGATTCCTGAAGGTTTAGATTGATTCTATAATATAGAATAAAATATATATTGATTAAGAATTCCGTATTTTAATTCAACAACATCCATCATTTTTAGAGTTTGATTTCTTAGAGTCTTTAACATCTTTGATTTAGAGACCTTTCTTTTTCTTACCTTTACTTTCTTAAGTTTAAACTTTAATTGAGATACCTAAATTGGTGAAATAATGAATTACTTTCGCCTAAAGATTTAAACAATTCAGCAATTCCTATACCAGCTTTAGCAGATGTAAAGAAATGTTTAGCACCTATCTTTTTACAATATTCTTCAACTTCATTTTTATCAATTTGCATTTAATTCTTCATATCACATTTATTTCCTGCAACAACAATTGAAATATCTTTAGTTCCAAATTGTCTTAATTCTTCAACCCATTTTTCTACCTAGAAGTTCAATGAAATGATCTACCTTAAGAAATGACTCTTTATAAGTAACATCATAAACAAGTACAGCTCCATATGCATCTCTATAATAAACAGTGGTCAATGCATGAAATATTTCTTAACCAGCAGTATCCTAGATATTTATATATATTAAGTACCCATATTGCTAACTTAATTTCTTTACCACCTCCTAAGTCTACTACTTTATCAAAATATGTAGCATTTACAGAGGATTCTTAATTCTCATTAAATTGATCTTAACAATATCTTAAAGTTAAACAAGTCTTGCCTACTCTTCCTAATTATTAATTTAAATTCATTCACCTTCTCCAAGCATCACAATTTTTTTAGGTGCACTCATTCAATTTTATTATTTAATATATATAATCAAGTACTAAATAGTGGTGTTAGCTTTGCAAATTCCTTATAAAATAAATTTCGTTCTTCTTTCTTTCCTCTCTTCTTCTTATTAAACTTAGCCTTCTCATAGAAAAATTTTGTTTCATTTTCACAAGCATTAAACAATCCCTATATATCTTAAAGAATTGTTTGAACAAATGAACTACTCTAACTTATTATTTCACAAGTTATTGGACTCACTATTGTCAACTAGAAATCCTCTTTTTCCAAATAAAAAAATGGACTATTTTTTATATTTATAATATATTACTTCTAATCAAAACCTTTATAAAAGATTCCCATAGAATGAGCATTAAATTTAGTTCCATAAAATTCTAAAAATTTATATGTTGCTAAACCAATTGAGTGAAATCCAGAATTTTATTAATAATAGTATTCTAAAAAGGCTACAACTAAAAGTACTAAACAAAATGAAGATATTCCCCCTTTTGATTAATCATTTAATCCTCTTTTCTTTAATAAACTTTTAAATAAAAGTGTTATCGTTTTTAATTCTTAATATTCTTAAATCCAATAACAAGTAAGTTCAGTTGAAGTCAATCCTAAATGTTGTATATGTCCAAAAAAACTTATATCAACTTAAATCAATTATGATTAACATAATAAATCTATATGTGGTAAATTCATATTTCCATTTCTAAATGGAATACTAGGATCTACCCATAATTTAATAAGTGGTAATGTTGTTTATGTTGGATAAATTGGTCTAAAATTATTAAAATAATAATATACTTTATGCGTTTCACCCAATTCATTTTATACAAAAATTCAATAATCATATCCATTTTTTAATTTAATAAATTAGTCTCTAATCCAGTTATTCCTATATCAATATCACTATCTGGTAGAGCCAATCTTGTTGCACATGATCCAAATAAACATACACCTGCATCCTTAAATAAATATTAAATTATAAATTGAATTCTGTTAAATATTAACTATCTTATTGGAAATTACTAATCATTCTCTCTTCTAATTTAATCAATAAATTCTTTGATATCAAGATCTAACTTTTTTATCATTTATTAAAAAGCTAAATTCATAAGATTTTCATCAATTGATTCTTCATTCTGTTCAACCTTTTTAGGTAATACTAAATTCTTTTTAATTAACTTTTTCTTTTCAGGAGTACTGATATTTTATTCAAATTATTACTATTATTCCTATTATTGTTATTATTCTAATTCCTATTATTATTATTATTCTACTTCCTATTATTATTATTATTCTAATTACTATTGATACTATTATTATTATTCTAATTATTATTATTATTAATATTAATACTATTCTTATTATTGTAGATTATCATTTTTGCTTATTTCCTCAATCTCCATAGACATCTTATTTTCTTATTATATCGGAAATTATTAATCTTATTATTATAATACATATTATAATTCCTTATTAGAATTTGTTGTATTAATATGATTAGAACATTTCTACTTTTTGTTCTTAGTAACAATAATCCAATCTTCAGTGTCTTAATTATCATCAGTGGTTGCATCTTAATTTTCATGCTCTTTTTAAACTATAATAGCAGATTTTTCCTACACAACCTAATGTATTAATTTCTTTTATTTATTTTATTTCTTCTTTTTCTTTAATCTTTACTATGATATTTATTGTAGCTATTAATTTTGATCATTTTTTGTTAATAATTCTAATTCCTACAATATGGAATGTTTATAAGATTCTCTTATGATTTAGAGTACTTATTTTTCACAGAAACTTTAAAGAGTCAAAGCATTATGTAAAGGTAAATAAAATATGGATTCAATTTAATTATCATTAAACTTACTAAGAATGTTTTGAACATTAATTGAATGATCTTTAATAAAATTAGAGTATTATTTTAGAATAATATTTTAATCTATTCTAATAACATTTGAAATACATTCTGATACCTTCTTTCTTATATTGTTTCCATTGTTAATCCAATATTATTAGATACATTCATAATTAATGAAGTTGATATGTTTATAATACAATAAGGTTACTTACTTTTCAAATTCATTTATAATCCAATTCAGACAACTCTAAGGTTAAGTAGAATCAAACCAACTTGCATCTTAAACCTTCAATTATTTATTATCTTCAATTATCTTCAATTGTTCTGTAAATGCCTTGCCATTTGAGCAATCTCTAATCAAAGTGATGATATTATGCATATCTCCTCTAATACATATAGTATCAAAAATTTCATCCTAATCAACTAGAGTGAGCTATGATAATAATTTCTATAAAATAAAACTGAAGAAATACTTCTTCTAAATTGTTTTTTTGATTATATTATGAGATTTGACATATTTACTCAATAGAATCCTTAAATTGAATAGATTGATTAGTATTTAATTTGTATTAGGATTTTTACACTAATCGATCATGTAAATACATCTTTAAGATAAATAGGCTGATGGATCTCTAGCCGATCACCAATTGATTGTTTCCATTGTTCTTCTTCACCCTTATATATTAAATAATGTATAATACCAACTCAAAAGACTAGAAAAATATGACAATTACATGATATACTTTTTGGATATTTACTCAATAAATTATTTGCAAAATTCATAATAATTATAAACCTTATATATAATATATATATATATTTATCATAATTACATTAATATCATCTTAAATATTCTGATTTTTGTTTCTCTTTGAATTCTCTCAAGATTTCAGCAGCTTCTTTACTTATAAAGGTTTCAGTATCTGTGAATTATGAAGGGAATTTCATAGTTGGTTATTTATAACTATCTCTTTCATTCAATTTACTCAAAATCGAATCTATTTATTAAGATTCTGTAGAATCACATAACCCTTTAGATTTCAATATACCACTCAATAATTATATTGCATCTATAGCTAACTAGAGTTTCTCATCAGTGCTAATTTTATTAGTTTAAACAGGTGTTTAAGATAATCTATTAATTTATTGTTATGAAGGGGTTTAAGGTTATTATGGTAAAGCAGAATTTGATTATTATTATTTATGAGATGTAGAAATATGTAATTAAGGTTAGGATGATGATTTAATTTAATATCCATAATTATTTTATCTTTCAACAGAGGTAACTTATTTATCTTATTATTATTATTATTATTATTATTATTATTATTATTATTATTATTATTATTATTATTATTATTATGATAATTATTATTATTATGATATTTATTATTATGATTATTATTAATTATTGTTATTTTATTATAATACATCTAAAATTAAATTTGCTGAATCTCTTACTTATTTAATCTAATAAATTTAATGATAATAATTACTTTATTTGATTTTAATTCATACATTAATTCTTTAAAGTAAGAATGTTCTTAAATTTTATCTTTTTATAAGACAACAAGAGAATAGAGTATATCTAATGCCATTTTTTTGACTTACCATAATTAATTTTACAATAAGAATGATAAATGTGGTATAATTTCATCAGCAAAGATACTAAAAATAGATTGATATTCTTACTCTGATTATTCTTCTACACTTAAGATGATAGCAGCCATGCCTTCTAAGATTTCTACTTTTCCATTTTATTGATTCAACAATGAGATGAATTTTCTAAATAGAAACAATGCATTTTATTCTAAGATTTCTAATGATAAAAATTAGACAACTCTAGTTAAACATAATGAATGTTATGCATTCTAATTTAAATGATTCATTAATGGTTTCAATATACTATTTAATACATCTCCATCAAAACAACAATGTTTGACTATTTTTCCAATAATTTCAGCCACTTATGTACAAACACAACTCATTGATTCAAAGTCTTTTATTCTCTTTAATAAATGATTGAATATGATTGGTAATTAAGGACTTAAGTTTTCATTTGCACATTCCGCTAATAATCCAAATAATTTTAATTATTCTTTAACTACTCCAATCTTATCTGATTTAGCATCTATTAAGACTTAAACAATCATTTAATATTGATCGCATTCAAGAAATATCTATCTGAATTGAGGATTAGCAATTGGTTTTTACAATAAGGATAAAAGTTGTTATTTGTAATTTTTCATTCGTTATAATTTTAATTAAAAAGCCTCCATAATTTTATCAATATATTATAGGTCACTTCATCATTATAATATTTCATGAATTTCTTAAACAAAATATTTGCAAGTTCACATAATAAAGGCTCATTTTAAATTGAAGATGTTTCTGGTTCTGAAGAAGATTAAGATGATATTCCAGAACATTAAGAAATTCCTTAATTTAAGAAATAAAATATTCAATAATTGTAGAATTACAATTCTAGAAAAAAACCATTACCTAAAATGGGTTAAGCAGATTTTTTGGCTAGATACGATGAAAATTTTGAAGATGTTTTTGGAGATAAACCATAATTTATTGATTTCCCTAAAGGTAAGAAAAGAAGATAGGAAGAAGAACAGGAAGATGATTATGATAATGAAAAAAAACCATAAAAGAAAAAGACTTAAAGTAGAGAAAGAAAATAATAATCAAAAGAATAACCTAAAGAATAATCAAAATCAAAAGAATTATTAAAAGATAATAAAAAAATTAAAGAATTTCAAGATATATTAGATTATAAAGAAATTAATCAAAAAGGTAATGAAGACAAAGAATTAATTGAACCAAAATTATAAAAAGAACCGAAAATAAGATTACCCAAATTTCCAAAATAAAGAAAAAGGATTGCTAATAATCATCTTTCTACATTAAGATCAAATTCTAATGATAGAGATAGTATTAGTAATAAAGATAGAGAATCTATATAATAAAATAATAAATATAATCCAAATGAAATAGCATTACCATAAACAGCCTTACCAAAAGGAGAAAAAAAATAAGATAAATAGAAAACTATGTTTTTTACTTTTGGTATGAATAATAATAATAATAATAATAATAATAATAATAATAATAATAATAATAATAATAATAATAATAATAATAATAATAATAATAATGATAATAAAGATGATAGTGAGAAAGATATAAAAAATAAAATAAAAAATTTATTTTAAAATTAAAAAGAAAAGAAAGATTAAAATGAATAAAATTATAATAATAACAATAATAATAATTAAATAGATTAAGTAAAAGTAAAGAAATAGAAAAATGATGAATAAAAAGAAAATAATAATTAAAAAAAATAAAGAAAAGATAAAAAAGAGAAAGAGAAAGAGTAAAAAACGATAAATAATTTGAAAGAATTTAATGATATAAAAGAGATTCTAAAAAATTAAAATAGTAAATAGAATAGTGAATAGAGAGAAACAAGAAAGTCAAATAGTATATAGAGAGAGAAGTAAAAAGAAAAGAAAAGAGAATAAAAGTAATCTAGAGAGAAAGATGAGAAGATAAATACAAGATCTCCATCTCCTGAATTAAGACTTATATAATATGAAACATAGAAAAGAGTGAAAAGAAGTCATAAAAGAGTATTAGTAGAAGATTTGGAAATGTTAAATACAGATGATTTATCATTAAATCCAAATATTGTAGAATGCAAACCAAATTTATATTTAGATTACATTCCTGTAAATGATTGATTGATTTATAAAATAATGTAATCACCTACAACATCAATAAATAAATTACGAAACTCTCTAACTACATTTTATTTAAAAGGTACTTGTTCTTATAAGACATCACCTATAAAGGAAGATCCTTCTATACTCTAAAATTTATTAAGGATGTAACAGAAAGAAATTGATAGATTGGAACACTAGAATAAGAATCTCTAGGTACTCACTCAACATTAATGTTCTATACTTTATTAAGAGAGAACATTAAGAACAAATTCAACTAAATTATAGATACATGCCGATTTACCATAAACATTACCAAATACTAGAAATGCTAGAAGATCAACTATTAAGAATGTTTTATAAGCTATGAAACCACCTCCACGTAAAATTGTTGTCTCTAATAAATTATAAATGAATAACAATGAATGTTTCAAATTAAGTTCAATTCTAGAAGCTAATAATCAATAAGCTAAATAATTATATTAAGAAGATAGTAGTATTCAATTAGTCAAAGAAATACTGAAAGATGAAGATTCATTTATTGATATTATTACTACATATCCTCCTTAGTAAGTTTCAATCATATATGATAAAATTAAAAAATTAATTAATGAACATGAATAAATGTTTGAAATCATACTCAAATTCAAATCTATCATTGATAACTCTTTTAATCTTTAAAATATTAAAATACAATTAGAAGCACTCAATCAATTAACTTTATAATGTAAAAATATACTTTAATGTAAAAATGCATAAATCATTACCACTAATGATGAAACAAGCAAATCATATATACAACATATCTATTAAACTAAATAAATCATTAATTTAAAAAATGCGAAATTTGATGATAGATTTAAAAATGAGAATTTCAATCAATTATTAGCTGCACCTATTCTAGATAATAATAAATGCTTAGGTGTTATTGTTTGTTAAGATAAATCAATCAATTTTAGCAATGAAGATGAAATACTAATCTAATATATTTGTCGATAAGCTTAATATATATTAACTAACTAAGTATCTAATAATAAAATTGAAATTCAACTTTAAAAGTATTAACATGCTCTTAAAAGTCTACTTTTATTATAATCAATTGAAGATTTAGATACTAAATTACACTTTTCTTAATAAAGGTTATGTGAAATTATGAATAGTAAAGATTGTAAAATTGTCTTACTTCAATAAAACAATGAAATTCAAAATAGTATCATATCATAAGCTATTCGCAATAATAAGACTCTTTTTATTCAAAATTGTTATAATCATGAACATTTCTAACCAAATATAGACATTAACACTTAATTACCTATCATAGCCACACCTATTAAATATCAAAATAAAATTATAGGAGGAATCGAATTCATTTCATTTAATAAATAAATTTCATCAATTGACCAAGAAATTTTAGATTTATTTATATAAATTTTGGGAATCAACTTTTATCATTTCACAAACAATTAATTTTGAATCTCACTAAGATTTGGTACTTGTGATTTTTTTTTATTTATTGGATTTTCATTTTGCAATTATAATTATTTAATTTAATTCTACAAGTATTTTAATTCCGTTTCCATCAATAACAATTTCTCTTGATTATCTGCATCCTTCAATTTTCAATTCAATTCATTTTTTATGTCCAAGAGTTTTTCTCTTTCTTATTTTAATTTCACAATAACATCCTTCGAATTCTAGAGTCTCTTACTTCTTATATTTCAATATTTCTTGTTAAAGAGATTAAATTTTCTCTTTAGCATGATAATATTCTTATTTTTCAATGTTTAATTCTTAAACTTTTAACAACAATTAATCTTTAGTATTTTCCTTTGTTAATCAACAAATAATTTTAATTAAACATTTTCCAATTCTAAAAGTAGCTTTTCTACAGATTCAACTTCTTTATCTTCATCTAAAACCTTCATTTTTTGTTATTTAATCTATAATAACAATTATTATTATTTTTTCTTAAATTAATAACTTCTTCTATAAAAACTTAATTTTCATTTTAATATTCCTAAATTGTTGTTGCCAATTTATCTCACAATTTATTTGTTACATTTAATCATTTAATTAATTTATTTGATATTTTTTCAAAACCATATCATTTTCCTATTGTTATTTTTCAATTCATTATTTTTATTCATTATTAAACTCTTTATTCATTATCTATTAAACTTAGATTCTATTTTCTAATATTTTTCCTTAAAATATGCTTTTTATACATATAATTTTTCATTCTCAATAAAATACTGCAACAATTAATATTCTAATTTTTTCTTCAGATTAACTTTGAATAGATTTCAATTATTATTATGTTTGCTTTTTCAGTAATTTAAATTTAGTTATTCTATTTTATTTTATTTCTAATAATTTCTATGAAACCAATTAATAGAATCTTATACATATCATTCATCATAATCTCTTTTAATTTAATCAATAATATAGTATTATTATTATTAGATTGTAAATTTCTATAATTAATTAGCATTTTGAAATTCAATAATTTATTCATTAAATTATTATTTTTATAAATTAAGGTTTTATTGTAACTATCCATTTTCTTAAAGTAAATATATATTTGCTCTTTCTAATCATCTACCTGCTCTTATTGATTTTAAAAATATAATTTTTAATTTTTCAATTATTCTAATTAATTATTTAATTTCCTTACTTTATTCATTATTCTTCGATTTTAAATTATTCCATTATAATTTCCACTTTTCTTACTTTCAATGTATTTCAGATTCCAATTCAATATATTCTATTTTTTTTTAAATTATAAGCTTCTCTGTTATTTCATCTTATTCATCATTTTCATCTTTATTACTCTTAAATTATGCTTATAATCAACATATAGATTTTTATAATTGATTTACAATTCTTAAATCAACTATTTTTCTTAAGTATTTATTTCATTTATCATAAAAATTTAATTATAAATTCCATAATTTTTATTTACTAATTATTATTTATTTTTAGATTAAAATTATTTTTCATATAAAAAAAGATAATTCAAAAAGAATAGAAAACTTTTATTTTTTTTACTTTCTTATTATTTCACATTAATTAATTTTCATTGTTTATACAGTACTTCAGAAAAGAATGATAATATCATTATTTTATTAAATATTTTATATTTTTAAAATCAAAGTGATGAAAATGAATTGAAATTTGACAAATTTTTAAGATATATTGATAAAATGGCTTTTTCTATCAAAATCATTTTAAATATAAGTGTGCTCTCTGTCCGTAATCATAAATATTTAAATTCTTGAACCAAATATTTGTTATAACTCTTTTACCTTATATTATAAATTTGATGAAAATAGGATATACTTTGTATTTTTTCGTTTATAAAGAGATATTAAGTAAATTGCTATTGAGTTTGATTTAATTTTGGAAAAAAATAATTTATTATTACATTAATATAATGTGGGTTTTAGATTTTATGATAAAATATTAGAAATTTTGTTGTTAATGTTTCATCATCCAAACAAATGGTATATTTATTGAATATAAATATGAAGAAGGTATTGAATATATTTATTTAGTTTATTATTTCTTAATGAAATAGATTTCAAGTATCAAGAAAAATTTATATTTGACAACTTTTTCAAATTAAGATGAAATCAAATTTCTATCATTAATAATTAGAATTCTTTGATCAAATAAAGCAACTCCTATTCCATCCTTTATTATTTCATCGAAGAAAATAGTAACGTTAATTTATTTATATATTACTTCATTTTCTATTTTAAATTTAACTTTGATTATTCAATAAACTATTCAGGAGGCTTAAAAGTAATATAATAATAATACTAAATACAATTTTAAAGTTTATTCAAAAATAAAATACTTATTATTTTAAGTTAGAAAGTTAGGATTTTAAATTAATTAAAATGGAGAATATTGATTAGTAATATCAATAAAAAGACTTAAGTAAGAAATGATTATTTCAAAAAACATATGACTTTAGTTTATGGAACTTAATTTTGTGGAAAATTAATATTTTTTTTATTTTTATTTTGAGATTGTATTTTTGATACGTTGAGGTTAATAATTAATAAGCAATTATAAATTTTTGATGATAAATACAAATAATGAAACCATTAATAATGGAAATATTTCTGTTATAAAAAACTTAAAAATAATCAAAGTCTCTTGAATTTTGTTAATAATTTTAAGAAATATAAGACATATAATTATTTAAAGTAATATAAATAGTTTTATATATTAAGAATAATATTAGAGTTGAAGTAAGATCTATTTTTTAATGTGTTGTGACATTTTAATTAAAAATTAAATAATAGAAAAATAGAACAATTTATTCAGAATCGAAATTATCTAAATGGTTATATTAAATTCGTTTCTTAAAAAATGCTTATAATGGCTTAGTCTTTGATATTTCTTATTCAATTAGTATCTGGAAATGAAATTACAAGAGATTATTGCTCATTACCAGATCCAATATATGCAAATGGTGTATCAGCTGCAGCTGCATAATTTGGAAATAATGGATGGAGTTATGCAAATATAAATGATTGGGAAAGTAATATATTTAGTTTATTTTAGGGATTGTTGTTACTTGTGGAGGTAGTCTTCAATCTCCAATTGATATTTTGACATCAGAAGCTGAATAAGCCAACACATAGCCCAGTATTAATTATAGAGATAAAGGTTCTGAAGTTGAATACAAAGAAATAGAAAGTATATATTTTATCTAAGAAAATAGAACCATATACCAAATAATATGAAGGAGAATACTCGTCAATTGAAGTTGCAGATGCTTCAGGATTATAGATTAGATATTATGCAAAATAATTTCATATTCATGCCCCTTCAGAGCATACTATAAATGGAAAGTAATATGATCTTGAGATACATTTTGTTCATTAAGTTATAAATAATATTATTGTTTTTAGGCCATTCAAGATTAAGAATAAGATTGTAATAAGATAAAGAATAAATTAACTGTGTTTGGTCTTATGTTCGAAGAGTCTTCATCAACTTAAGATTATGATGTTTTTAAACCTTGGTTTGATGGAGAAGTAAATGGAGAAGTTAAATAATTTGACTTAAAGTAGGTTGCTATTTTATATTTATAGTGATTTCTTTTCTAGAATGAGTGACACAACTTATTATCATTATAATGGTAGTTTAACAACACCTCCTTGTTCTTAAACTGTTAATTGGATTGTTTTTGAGAAAGCGTTGCCAATCTCACCTAATCAATTAAATTAATTCAAAACTAGTTTTTCAGATACTTCTGTTTTCAAATTCATGTAAAATAATCGTCCTATTCAAAATTTAAATGGAAGAAAGATATTGAAAGGAGTAATTTTATTTAAAATATTTTAAGACTGTATAAACAATTGGTCTGGCAATTTTACCAGATTCATATGCATCCTATGCATATATTTTATTCATGACATTGATTAGTTTATTGTTTTTATGAGAATTATTATATAATCAAAAAGATTTATAAATATATTAATAAATAAAATAATAATTAATCAAGCTAATAAATTCTACATACTTAATCAATAATTATAATCAATTTAATTTAAGATGGACAATTCTCTATCATTTTTAAATAATACTTTCAATTGCAACTGCCTTAATTCATTATCATAATAATTTTATAAATTTTATTCATATTTAATATATTTATTTGTTTAAAATATATATAATTTTAATTGCTATGCTATTTCCTTAGTTTAAAATATTTTATTCATTTTCTGAGATAGTTTAAAAGTAACAACAATCCTGATAATTTAATTAATCTAATTCTTTAGACTTTTCAAAATGAGATTAACATATTATCTGAATATATATATATATATGTAATTGAATAAGCTAATTGTAGTCATAACTTTTTTTATTTTCTTCTATATATATTCAAATTAAATTTTAAAAAGGTCTAAAACTAAAAAATAAGATGTTATATAGAATAATTGAATCAGATAGATTATTTAAATAGAATATTAGAGATAATTTAAAAAAGACCTTACATTATTATTATAATGAGTAAATCAAAAAACTTGATTATAGTAGCAATCATTTGTCAACTAATTTTAAATGCTTCAGCCTAATGTGAAATGAATAATGGATAATGTCCTGAGGGTTGCAACTTAGTTTCTGGAAATTGTATAGAAGATAAATGTAATAATTATATTTAAAAATTGGGAAATTCTACATCTAATCCATTTAGTGGTTAATTAGAATTTGTAAATGGAACAATAGATTTAAATGTTACTATATTTTATATTGATGATGATTATTCAGACCAAAAAAAATTTGGAATAGTTAAAGGAGAAAATAAAGAATCTTGTTTAGAAATGTAGATATGGATGTATTAAAATTCCTAATATAAAATCAAATAAGAAATAAGTTACCCAATTCAATACATCAATGATAATAAGAACAAAAGAGCTTATTCATATATTATTCCTAGTAAAGATTTTGTGAATTAATTGTAAATATCTGAGAATGAAAATTATTATTTATTTAATGGTTTTTATGGAATAGAATTTAAAATAGGAGAAATTATCTAAAGTTAAATTTATTATGACTTTTATGTTAAAATCTCAAAATCTTCAACAGGAAGTAAAGAAACTACTTTTGGAAGTTTAAATTCATATATGAATAGTAGTACAATTCAAATAATTCCAAAAAGCATTCTAGAATTTTGTAATGATGAAACTTGCACTTAAACAATGAATTCAACTTCACTGTATTTAAATGATCAAGTTTGGCTAAAACATTCAATAAATACATCTGGATTAGAAGGATATTATTTAACAAATCCAGTAATATATTTTATAGGAGATAATATTTTTAAGTAAGGAACAATAAAAGATAAAAAACTAAATTAAAAAGGATTTTCTTTATATTTAATGACAGTTGAAATTGCATGGTCTAATATTAAAATTAGTGCTGCTGCAACTATGTCAATAAATGCTGGAAATAGATTCTTAGCAGAAGATAAAACAAAAGTAGATTATAATTCTATCTAAACAACTTCAAGTATAGAGATTGATTGTATAAGAATTAAAGAGACCAATTAATGTTGTTTTGACAATGAAACTTGTTTTTCTGATCGATTATCTCCTAAACTTATTTTATTAATGATTTCCATTAGTTTATTATTATTATTATGATAAATTTGTTAATGATTATTACGATATCAAACAATAATAATAATATTACTTATTTAAAAAAAAGAAGCAATAAGAAATTAAAAATATTATATTATATTGAATTATATATTAAATATTTTACATAAATATTATAGCTCATGAAAAAAACATTGCAAGTANATATAGAATAATTGAATCAGATAGATTATTTAAATAGAATATTAGAGATAATTTAAAAAAGACCTTACATTATTATTATAATGAGTAAATCAAAAAACTTGATTATAGTAGCAATCATTTGTCAACTAATTTTAAATGCTTCAGCCTAATGTGAAATGAATAATGGATAATGTCCTGAGGGTTGCAACTTAGTTTCTGGAAATTGTATAGAAGATAAATGTAATAATTATATTTAAAAATTGGGAAATTCTACATCTAATCCATTTAGTGGTTAATTAGAATTTGTAAATGGAACAATAGATTTAAATGTTACTATATTTTATATTGATGATGATTATTCAGACCAAAAAAAATTTGGAATAGTTAAAGGAGAAAATAAAGAATCTTGTTTAGAAATGTAGATATGGATGTATTAAAATTCCTAATATAAAATCAAATAAGAAATAAGTTACCCAATTCAATACATCAATGATAATAAGAACAAAAGAGCTTATTCATATATTATTCCTAGTAAAGATTTTGTGAATTAATTGTAAATATCTGAGAATGAAAATTATTATTTATTTAATGGTTTTTATGGAATAGAATTTAAAATAGGAGAAATTATCTAAAGTTAAATTTATTATGACTTTTATGTTAAAATCTCAAAATCTTCAACAGGAAGTAAAGAAACTACTTTTGGAAGTTTAAATTCATATATGAATAGTAGTACAATTCAAATAATTCCAAAAAGCATTCTAGAATTTTGTAATGATGAAACTTGCACTTAAACAATGAATTCAACTTCACTGTATTTAAATGATCAAGTTTGGCTAAAACATTCAATAAATACATCTGGATTAGAAGGATATTATTTAACAAATCCAGTAATATATTTTATAGGAGATAATATTTTTAAGTAAGGAACAATAAAAGATAAAAAACTAAATTAAAAAGGATTTTCTTTATATTTAATGACAGTTGAAATTGCATGGTCTAATATTAAAATTAGTGCTGCTGCAACTATGTCAATAAATGCTGGAAATAGATTCTTAGCAGAAGATAAAACAAAAGTAGATTATAATTCTATCTAAACAACTTCAAGTATAGAGATTGATTGTATAAGAATTAAAGAGACCAATTAATGTTGTTTTGACAATGAAACTTGTTTTTCTGATCGATTATCTCCTAAACTTATTTTATTAATGATTTCCATTAGTTTATTATTATTATTATGATAAATTTGTTAATGATTATTACGATATCAAACAATAATAATAATATTACTTATTTAAAAAAAAGAAGCAATAAGAAATTAAAAATATTATATTATATTGAATTATATATTAAATATTTTACATAAATATTATAGCTCATGAAAAAAACATTGCAAGTATTAAAAGCTTAGAGTGTTAATTACAATTCTATAATGTCTGGTTTAAACTATAGAATGACTATTAGAGATAATGGTTAAAGAATGGGACATATTTCTATTAATCTTAATAAATCTAATAATGCTTAGACAAACATTCTATTAAAGAAGCTTCTATAAAACTAAGAATACTCAATATTAAGAGATTAAACTAAAATGATATTTGAAGGATCATTCGAAGCCTTAAAAACTTTGACTGGAGTAACTACATATTATCCAGATACAGGTTAATATAAAAATACTATATTTTAGGATTATTAGTTTATGATTTAGAAGCAAACAAACTTGTATTGCATTTAACTAAAGAGAATATATAATGTTAAGGAATTGTCTTGGGCTATGTTATGGATTCTGATGCTATGACCATAATAAATTCACTCAGAACATCTACCATTCCATTACAAGCAAGATTAGAAAATACTTATAATTATTATCTTAAGAGAACATTGAATGTGAGCTTGGCTGTCTCTTTATTAGTATTTTATAATGCATTTACTGGATCATAAAAGTCTAAATTTGGTATATTTGAAAGAGATGATAAATCTCCTAAAACAGAAGCTAAATGAATAACAATTAAAATTAATAGATTATAAATACATATTGATCATTAAGGTTAAGATCATTTCTTTCACTTTAAAAAATAAGTACAAATTATTTTATTTAAAATATTTTAAATTATATTATTTAAATTTTCATTATTTTTTTTCTCTTTCTTAATCTCATTTTAATCATATACTAAAGATTAGTACATATCTTAAGAACTTATTTTAAATTATTAATTCTATTCATATTTCTTTTAAGTATTATTATATTTATTTTTCATCTTAATCATTTAATTAAATCTATATATTATATTTCAGTGTTCTATTCCTAGCAATTTAATTTTCATGAACTCCTAATTTATTAACAAAATATCATTTCCTAATCTTAGTAGGTTTTTAATGAATACTTGAATCTTTAATTTTCTATTAATATTAGTAAGATAATAATTGAAT